CCCCAAAAAAAAAAGCTAAAAAAACCCCATATCCCTTATCAACCATAGTAATCATTCTTGTCCTTCTCTTGACAGCAAGACTTTTGCAGAAGAAACAAAAGCCGGAACCAATCATCCCCTCAACCCCCAAAACCATAGAAAGTCCTACTCTCTCTCTTGATCACATACACAACAATCCATAGAAGTCACCATCTTCCTACGAGCATGCTCGATATAGGTAACAGCATTATGAATCACATTCTCTAGAAAACACATATCTGTATCCTCATAGATAAGCCCACTGATACGGTCCACTCCTCTACGAACCAAATGCCTAATGGCTGCCTTTGTGATACCTTGAATGTTATCATGGAGGACCTTACGATATCGTTTTGCTCCTTCCTTTGAAATCCTTTTCCTCCCTTTCCACGACTCAACATTTCGATCAACCACTAATTCTCTGCAATTGGAAGCTTCTGGATCTCGAAGAGTACCAGAGATGGCAGTGAACGGCCTTTTTACAAAACGGAAGCATTATTCTATGTATTTCTCAGTGCCTAGATTAATTAAAATCCTGTTTAAAATATCTGTTTGTCTTTTAGATGTAATTTTTGCTGTGTTGACATTGATGCCTTTTTTATTTCTCCAGCAAATATGTCAGTCACTTCATACTATTTGGTCAGCTCCTCTTCGAATTACCGTTGCATTGGTTCTTCTTTACCAGCAATTGGGGGTAGCAGCACTTCTTGGTGCACTTATGTTGGTTCTTATGTTTCCAGTACAGGTAAGAAGCTTTTCTCTTCCTCTTCTCACTTTAAAACTTTTATACAATTTTCTTGAATATATTTCCATTTTTTTGTTATATACCTGAATATGGAATATACTGCTTGCTTGAGGAAGAGCACTTTCGAGCAACAAGAAGAAAGAGAGTTGTTTCTGTAATTAAAGGCAAATGCTTTTACGCCCGAGTTCTTTTGGAGCTAGTGGTTATGCTAATAGAATTATCCAAAATGGTTTTAATTCAATTAACAAATATAAGATTTTTCTTGATGAGGTTAATAAATATAATTGTATAATATGGAAAACCACAAATACAAGTTGTATAAAGATGATAGAGAATCTTACGCAACATGAGTCATTATGAAATCATGACTGGAGTAGGACATGTGCTCCAAAAGTACATGAGTAAAATCATTTAAAGTAATGGTAGTTACTTTTAAGGCACAGGAATGTTTGTAACAGCTGGAGTATCACATGTGCTCCAGAAAACTGGTCTGATGCAACCCTGTACAGTAAAAGAAGAAGGATATGAGTACTTGATGTTGAGGTTAATTACTTGTGGCTATCATTATCCCTCAATAATCCAAATTAAATAAATTATTGAAGGATAACGATAGCCACAAATAACCATTATATTTTCCATTTTGACTGGAATCAAAGGTGCTGATAGTTTGGTACTGATGGATTTTATGTTTTGGAGTATTCAAGAAGTGAAGAATTTCTTTTTCTTTTGTTTTTTTT